TCTCTTCCTTCATTACTGGACTCCAAAGAAGCCTTTACTTTACAGGAGATCCAGTATCAGTGGCTGCCTAACAAGTACATAATGGGCTAGAGAAAAAGGTTCCAAACCCTACATGCTGCAACTCGCCATCATAGCTACACATCCAAACCCTACATGCTGCAACTCGCCATCATAGCTACACATAGTACAATGAACTTGGCTTCTACAGCTCCAACCATAATGAAGTAGGACCTGAGGAATGTCCTTTCCTTGGGTAAACATAGACAGCCCCCTCCCTGAAAAGATGCTAACTATACCCAATAGGTGAGCAGGTCCATGACTACTGGGATCTTATTCTTAACAGCAAAAGAAGATAATTGAACTGGCTTCAAGCACTATGCTTTTCATGTTTTTTGTGGTTCGCAGCAGCACTTTATATAATTTTTAGTTTCTCCACTTCACCCTGTTTCTCTTATTTATTTATACGTCCTTGCAGGGTTTCAGGGACTGTAAGTAACACCTTTGTTGCAGTTACTTTGGTCTTCTGTGCACTTTTTTCTTCAAAGTTTTTGTTCTTGATATCTGGCAAATTCTCCTGATCTTCCAGTAAGGTATTCTTGCTTGCTTGCTTGCTGTTTTTGCTTTCAGCTTGTTTGTTGCTTTTGGGATTGTCCTTGAGGGACAGAAGAACAAAACCTGAATGAAATAGTTTCTAAAAGGCCATAGAATTGCAACAGTCTACCAATTATCAGCTTTTATGACAACTGGTAGGAAAGTATAATCAGGAGAAACTCGGCAGCTGTTTAACACCAAATAAGCAAAACATAGGAATGCATTTAATGACATTTGGCTACTCTTCTGGGGGGGGGAAGCTCCTGAATTGCTCTTAGGTGGTTGAACATTTTGGATTGCAAATTTTGGCTGATTGAGCAGAAGAACTGTTATAAAATATTGCTTTTAGTGGTGGATGACAATTGGAAATGCATTGGACTATAAAGGCCATAAATAAGGATAAGAACTATACAAGACATTTTTGTTTGGACCTTAAGATTGGTTGGTTGGATAAGACTAATATACAGGGATTATGGTACCTGTGAAAGATTATTTGGAGGGGCGAGATAAAATGGATGTTGCATAGCTAACTAAAAGTGGTAGGAAACCACACCCAAGATTCTTTTCTGAAGCTCCCAGCCTGGAACATCAGAGATCTGCAGGAGTAATACTTCAAGATAAGGCAAATATCTTCCAGGTGGAAATACATGCTATGTTGCAACTAATTCAAATTGATTCAATTCAAATGACAATTGTTTCAAATCATGATGAGATTAAAAATAATTTAGATGACATAAATGAGCACATCTTTAATCTAAGCCAGTGGTTCTTAACCTGGGCGATATCGCCCCCCAGGGGACGATTTTGTTTTTCAGGGGGGCGATGGAATGAAAAGGGGCGATGCGGGGGCGAAGGAATGAAAAGGGGGCGATATGGGGGCGATGGAGCGAGAAGTTTTGGGGACACTTTTGAGACTTTTTCGTACAGTGAATTGCTGTATATCTGTTGTACAAAAACATCAGATCACTCGCTATTAGCGGATTAATTGTGTTTTCAAATGTTCCTCCAGCTACCTTCAGTACAGAACGCCATACATATGTGAATACACATAGCTTATCTTCATGCGTGTTGCGCAGCAGCCTCTACCCATACAATGGCGCGCCATTGGCCAGAATATGGGAGATATGAGGAAAAGACTCGAAAGAAATTATTTGCATCAATATGTTGTCCTGATGCCAATTTTAAAGAAAACAAAAAAAGGGTTTGCATAAATTGAAGAATTATTTCCTAGGTTGTGATTGAGAGGTTATGTTGGGGGAGGGGGGCGATGACAACTTCCTCATTGGCTCAAGGGGGCGATTCGTTCAAAAAGGTTAAGAACCACTGATCTAAGCCAGTGGTTCTCAACCTTTTTAATGCTGCGACCCCAACCAGTCGTAAGTCGAGGACTGAACCGGTCATACGTCGAGGACTAAACCGGTCATAAGTCGAGGACTTTCCCTGCCCGGGAGTGCCGCACATGCGTGGTTCTGCCCCCTGCGCCGGCCGAGGCGTAGCTGGCAAGTGGCAGAGATGGAGCAGGCCGACCACCAGCTGGCCCAGCCCAAGGGAGGTAAGGCACCCGCCAGAAAAGGGGGGGAAAATGGCGGACAAAAAAAATGGCGGACAAAAAAATGGCAGACAGCCTTGCTTGGCGACCCCCATGAAATGGTCGATCGACCCCAAATGGGGTCCTGACCCACAGGTTGAGAACCACTGATCTAAGCTCACAAGTAAAAAAACTCTCAGAAAATGATGATAAAGATATGAACAAATAAATCAGACAATAAAACACAAATTAGAGGAAAGTGACCCAAAGATAGAGGCTACAAACAAAAGGAATTACAGCTTAGCACAGGCAAAGGAAAATCTGCAAGATTCTGTTATAATATTGGAAAGGGAAAAGACATCTTATCTTCAAAATAAACAAGAGGATAAGAAAGAAGATCTGACAAAATGGATTATAGAGATGCCAGGAGAACCACTAGAGTTTGGGAGACAAAAAAATGAAAAGAGAAATTGAGGGAGGAAGAAAGTGGAAGCTCTTTAACAATTATAAATGGGTGAAATGCCTCCTCAAAAACACTCCACCTAATCCATCTTCCCCATTCCTAATAACATTTATAAAAAATACAGGAAGAATTCTCTGGCAAAAGAAGAAGGCTAGAGTTAAATTCAAAAGATCAGATGACTTGATTTACCAGATAGAGTACTATATGACTAAATACTTGTTTGAATATGGTTAAAAGAATAGATACATTTTGGATATAAATGGGGATGTGATTTATAAGTAGTATAGTACTTTTTTATGATATGAGAAATGTAAAAATACTGGGATGACTTATGTGAACGAAATGTCTGGACATTTAAATGTAATTAATTTTGAGAAAATTATAACTGATAAGAATGTTTTGAATATTTACAGGAAATTAAACTTAAATAAGAACTTTGAAAACAGGACCTATAGTGATTTAATAAAATGACTCTTCGCAAATACATCTGAAACATAAGCTGATCAGAAAAGATGTTATACACTGATGTTAATGTTATTTGTATAAACACTAGAAAAATGTTTACTATCGAATATACTAAGAATTGTATTTACTCAATGTTGGCAAAAGGAAAATACTATTGGAAGAAGAGAAGATCATGGAAATGTATCATTAACTAGTATGTTGATTAACTATTATTGATTGTTGTTAAATATATGAATCCAGACAACACGTTGTTTACCAAGCACTAAAGATTGTTATTGTAAAAAATTAATAAAATATATTATAAAAAAAGGAATGCATTTAAAAATCCAAAGCTTCAAAGCAAGTGAAGTTACTCAACACTGAGAAAAGTGCTGCTACTGATGCCCACACTTGATATTTCCTTTCCACAAAATATCAGCCTCATTCCGCCTGGTCAGCCCTATGTATATATATACTGTATACACACCAATCAGTAAATTGACTGCCTTTTCCCCTGATGCTACTTTCCATCCGTAACTTGTTCTAGGCCATCCCAGCTTACTTTATTAATAAGTGGTGGGTGACCCAAATCCTTTAAGCCAGGACTTGTCCTCTTACCTATATGCATCATTTCCACCATAAAGGAGAAAAGTCTGGGACAAAGGTCAAATATTTCAACCTTTAAAGCCCTTCATGGCATGGGGCTAGTTTCTCTGAGGGACTGCCTCTCCCCAGTCACATCTGCCTGTTCCATTAGATCCAGCAGGAAGGGCATGCTGTGTATCCCGTCTGCAAGGAAATTAGATTTGGCGGGCCCAGGAGGTGGGCCTTGTCTGCCATACAAGTTCCCGCCCCCCCCCGAACATTCTTCCTCCTGAACTGCGGCTAGCTGCATCCCTGCTGGCTATGGCATCCCCAGGGGACTAAAACCCTGAGACAGTTCCATGGTGAATAACTCTCTCTTGCATTTGCCATTTTTTACATTTTAATATTGACTTTTTAATATATACTTTGTTTTAATTAATTGTTGTACACTGCTCAGAATCACTTTTTGTGGGATGGGCAGCTATATAAATTTGATAGATAGATACATTTTTGGTCATATGGCTCAATATATCCATAGACTGAACCTCACAATCATACCATTTGTATTACTGGATTGCCGCAATTTCTAGGACAATCACACATTTCCTTCCTTGCAAAAGATTTATTAAGGTGGGATAAATTACAGCTTATTTAATTACAAGGTAATTACAATTACCTTTTGGTGATCCTAAGAAATAAGAGATTATTAGACTTGGGCCATGTATCCTTGGTATTTAATGCCCACAGAAATTGTCAAAGATATATAAAGGAGTTTCAAATGCATGCTGGAAATGCCAAGTGTAAAGAGGGTACATTTTATCATCTCTGGTGGACGTGTGACAAAGCCAAGATACTCTGGGATTGGATTTTTATCTTGATTCAGAAGAAAGTATGGACAGTGAAGGTGGTGGAACTGGCTGAGATGGAAAAATTGACTGTTTTAATTAAAGAGCAGAATTTATCTAGTTTTGTTGCTACTTGGAAACCCTTTCTGCACTTTCTGCTTGTACCTGAAAAAACATAAAACTTTGATTTATTTTTTTTAAGACTAGAATGACTGTATTGTAATAGAAAGAGCTTGAAATACTCAGAAATGTGAAGCAAAAGGTTGAGGCTAAAACTGTTTTTGTACTGTATTGCTGAAGTCACTACATTTTTATTTCCTTTTTTTCCTCTGAACATATCTTCTTTCCTCTTTAACGTTTCTAATTTTCATTTTTATTTCTATAACAAACTTTAATAAAATATTAAGAAAAGTACATTTCCCTCTTTGCAGGCAATGTGTAGTAATTACTCATGTTTTCATTGCTCTGTAATTTTCAAAAGCAGTATAAAAAAGCTTAACAGATATAATTCCCTATTTATTCCTCAAATGTTTGGTTTCAGAGTACATGTAACAGGACATAGTTAATCCTGAGTAGCTTCATATTTATTTAATTTGGAATGGGGAATAAAACGTCAAAGAGAAAAGTCTGGCATGGGCCCAACCTTGGGAACAGGATCTGAATCCAAATTGGATTCAAGCCCTGTATTTTCAGACCACAGCACTGCATTGCCAAAGTTATTTCCTTAATTTTCCTTCCCTGCCTCCATTATTAGAATGCTCACAGCCTTGTAAAGTAAAATAAAAGAGCTTTTCGCTCCCTTGACCTTTCCCCACCATGTGTTTTTACTTGATGGATCAGGGGAAAAGACTTTGTGCCCACCTACTGCAGTTCTTAAACATCACACAGCATAATATTGCCAGATTTTTGTAAACCTTTATTGGGAAACTTCATTTTCAGCTTCTCTCATTTTATTAATTTTGACTAAACACTAAAGCACTAATCCATAAAGCAATGACCTTACAAGGGTGTAAGTAACAAGTAAGTAACTTGTATAACAAGGTGTACTCAGTTTTGAGAGGAACCCCTAGAATCAACTAAAAGCAATTAGGAAAGATTCAAAACACTATTGTCTGCTACTCCTACAGTTTTTGTGTTTTTATTGTATTTTGCATTCTGTTTGATTTTTTTTAATGTATAAATAATTTATATGGGTGCCCATCTCACAACAGTAAGTCTGGGTAGAGTAGAAAGATTTTGTATACCCTCTAGAGCCTCTGAAGTAAGTGTAGATCTTATATCCAGTGCTTTTTTTCTAAAAAAAAAAAAAAAAAAAAAAAAAAGGTGCCAGAACTCACACACGTCATACAACCCGCCTTGCCTACCCTACAAGGTTCCATCCAAAAAAGGTGCCGGAACTCCGTTCTGGGCGTTCTATGAGAAAAAAAACCCTGCTTATACCTACCCACCCACATACGGTACTTTCTCCCAGTAATGCAAAACAGGGTAAAGAATCTGGACTCCTTCAGATGTTGCTAAATTGCAATTCTTCTCAATCACTATCTTCATGTCTGGTAAAGGGGTACTGGAAGTAGTATGGAGAAAACGACTAGTCCCCTACATCTAATTAAATTGTGGGTTGCCAAATAGGAGGAGCTAATGTACAATAGTGAGAGCTGAAGCCCCAGCTCATATCTGGAAGGGCCAGGCTGGGGAAGATTGGGATAGAGGAGAGAAATAAGAAATGAACCTCCCTATGAAAATCTTGATAGGCAGTCTAGATGGAGGTATTGTAAATAAAAACATTATTTACCTGAACTGCATTGATTTGCATAAAATTAAATCAATTGTATGATCACTACATTCAATGATTGATATTGTTACAGGATACCCATGTTACTCTACAATGGCCAAAACTCAGAAGCTTGAAAAGTAGCATGGTATGCACCTGATATATCATGCGGCTAAACTGGTGTAGGATGTAAATTAGGAGAAGGTGGAAGAAGGAAGGGTGGGGAAGACTCAGTGTTTCTGCAGATGCAAATTGCATGTGTGATACACTAAGCAGCATAAAGTCTGAGCACCAAATCCATAAAAGCTGATGTTCCAGCTGTGATGGTTTCAATATCAAGAATGAGTGGCCTGGTTTACATATTTTGGAAAGTAGGTAGAAAGTAGCTTTGGTCTGTAACATGGATCTGGCCTATTATACCAATGGTCTTAGCTTCATTTGCATTGGAGCTCAGGGTAGACTGTGAGTACAAAGAAGAAGATAATTGGAGAATCTCGATCAATGGTTGATTGGTTTGTTTATAACCATTATACGGCCACCCATCTTTCAATCAATTCTTGGCAGCTTCTAATCAAAGACTGAAAAACACATAAAATCACATTAAAACTATAAAACCAAACCTATTAAAAATTAAAAACAAAATCCTGGTGCCAAATCAAAGTGCTAGCCTTCTCCAAGATCTTGGAGGGAAAACCAGGTTTTCAAACCCTTATAAAAGTCTAAAAGGTGGAGGCCTGCTGAACTTCAGGGTGTAGAGTGTTCCGTAGGGCAGGGGCTGCCATAGAAAAGGCATGCTTCCTAGCTCCCATCAGATGGCAATATTTAGGGAAAGTGTGTGGATCTTAATTTAGAAAGTAATTTAGAGAGTAATTTGGGCAGTTGGAGATAGTGAAATAATTTGTAAATGCTTGTGAGTCAAGAATCCAGTTCCAGACTGCCACTGCTAACCTGCTTGGGTAGAAGAACGGAATTTATGTGGGAGTGTTGGGGGAGGGGTTAATAGCATTATTAAAAACTGGGGAAGGGAGTAATTGATTCAAACAGTTTCAGTATCACTGATCTAGAGCAGGGCTTTTCAACCTTTTCACAGATTGTACCACTTTTAGGACATGACAATATTTGAGTACCACCAGTGCTTAGCAAGGTGTCAAAAACTTGATGACTAAAAAAGGGGGGATTTTGGGTTTTACTGATTAGATTCGTTGGTTGTTATAGAAATGGCTAGTTTATAATATTATGGAAAAGCAAAAAGTTGAGGTTCAATAAAAAAATAAATAATGCTTCCTTCTACTGCAACAGAGGAAGTATGTTCTTTTTCCCCTTCTCCCCCTCACTTTCCCCCCTTTTTTCTTCCCCACTGTGTCTTACTATTTGCTTTTGTATTTTTGTATTTTATTCTATAATCTAATAAAATATTACAAACTGTGGAAAAAAATAAAAAAATACCAGTTTTAATTTCTTCAGTGGCTGTTCCTTTGCTGAATCACTTTCCCTTTGCACTGACAAATATATGATGAATTTATCCATGTTTATTAATATGCACCACTAGCAGCTAGTTCAGGGGTCTTCAAACTTGGGACTTTTAAGACTTGTGGATTTCAACTCCCAGAATTCCTCAGCCCTCTTAAAGTTGCTAAATTTAGACTCCTGAGCTAGCTGGTTGGCCCTTCTGAGCTCTTCCACAGTGTAGTAAGAATGCACCCCTCCAATCCCTTCCCTGTACCCTTAAAGACACAGGAATCAAGTGAAAAGCAAGAAAATAAAGAAACACAAACTCCGTTTTTTTTCCTCTTTAAGCTGCCTCAGGCGTGTCATACGTCACAATGTTGCAATCCTAGACTGAAAGGCTCTGGCAATTGCGAAACGCTTTAGCTTTAAATTAAGCCAGTTTACCTTCAAAGAAAACTTTTTAAAAGCCACAGACTCAATTAAAGGCGGTAAAACTAATTACATTTGTTTAAAGGGATTAAACCTTTCCTGTTGTCTTTTCCCCCTTCCCCCACCCAAACCACATTTTTTTATAGCCTCTCCTCTCTTCCCCCCTTCAGTTCACCTCCAGCTCCAAGCTGCTTCTGGAAGCGCCAATCAGCTGGAGCCCTGCCGGTTCCTGGGGCTTCTGCGGAGCCCAGACAGTTCTGCAGCTGCCTCTCCATCAGGCTTGGCTCGCTTCTGCTCATTCCCCTCCCCTGCTACACTTGGCTAGCCATCGTGTACCACCTGTCATGTGGCAAAGTACCACAAGTGGTACACCAGTTGAAAAGCCCTGATCTAGACTATAGGTAATGTTCTAAAGCAGATGTCCCCAACCTTTTAGGCACCAGGGACCGGTTCTGTGGAGAAAGGTTTTTCCGCAGACCAGAGAGTGCATGGTTTTGTGTGCTGCCTGCATCCCACAGATGGGACTTTGCTTGTTTGTGCGAACCAGTTGCAGGCATGTCACAGCCCGGTACCAGTCCATGGACCAGGGGTTGGGGACCCTGTTCTAAAGTACCTCTTCATGTCTGTTACATTGCTCTAAACTCAATGCTTTGTGTTTCTGTGCTGCTTCTGCTTCATTGTTCTACCATCTTTCTTGATTCCAGAGTGCCTAACTAATAAGGGATGGGCAGGTTCAACAAGGTCCAGACTTGGCTTTAGACAGGACTGAATCAAATTATATGTGCTAGTTCAACATGTTCAGTTTTTATTGAGTTTAAAGGAAGACATTTTGAGGCTTTACTATTTGTTTGGGAAGAGAGTTTACTTATGGAGTTTATATTAAAATTTCTACAACAATTTCTTTGTATTTCTTCACTCAAAATAGCCAATTGTCATAAGTTTGTCAGGAGTTCTGAAAGCCACCAAAATATTATCCAGGGGCTTCAGATTGCCAATTACTTTAGTAGAAAGTGTGAGTGGCAGAATGTGTCCCTATATCATCTCTTAACCATTTCCTTAGAACAATTCTTTGAGACTACCATAAAGGAATCCCTGTCTACTGGATGCTGCTTTTCAAACTGCTTCCAGATTTCAGTCACAAAGCTCATACTTGATATAGGCTAACAGCCAGAGTTAAAAGTGCCACTAGATGTGACATCTCTGAAAAAAAAATAAACAGATCAATCTTTTTTCTATGAAAACATCCTTATTATTACAAGATTTTCAAATATTGTCATTTCTTAATATTGGCCTGGCTTCAGAACTCACGGATGGAAGCAAACACCTGGGTATTCAGTTCCATTGATACAGAACTATAGGCACAAAATGTCACTTGTAACAATAGAAACTTGTAGTTTTTGTTATTAATTATATGTGTTGTTTTGCAAGTGGCAGAACATATATGGATCTGGCTTCAGTAAAATGTCAAAAACAAAACTTTATGGAACAGAAAAGCCTTTTCTCCTACAGAAGATGACCTTTATTTTGAGTCCTCTTAAGTAGACAGTAGGTAGTTGCTCTTTAGATTTCAATGTACAAATCAAGAAAGTAGCCATCTTAAACTTAGATGGATCCATTTCACACTAGAACAGATAGAAATAAAAGGCTTGATAATGACTTGATAATATTTATGGGGAAATGTTTAAAGGTATTTTTGACATCTCTGTATGATTTGGTACAAGTTATGAATAAATGAAATGCTGTCAAACAAAACACATTAAGGCCATCCAATCTGAAAAAGTCTCTGTACATTGAAGGACAAAAGCATCCAACTGTCATATACTCCCCAATCCCAAAGAGTCCTCAGTCTCCAATTCATCAGACTTTATCTGCTTTTAATCTTGGCTTTCCCAAAGCTAGTGAGATGAAGACGTCAAGCAATATTCATTCATTCATTCAATCAATCAATTTCTGTAATTGTCCAGCTCACATTCATAACTCAAAACACAAGTGGTACCAAAAAATAAAAAATAAAACAGCCATACAAACAATACAGGAATTAAAATAATCAAACAATTAAAGGCATACAGGACAATCCCTGAGGCAGCATAGCTATTTAAAAACAATACAGCCATCTTATGGGTTCTACACCACTCTCTGATCCAAATGCCAAAAACAATAAAAAAAAGTTTCAACACATAAAAAACAAGAGAAAAGTCAAAGAAACAATTAGGAGAAGATGACAAAGAAATAATGGGTAATAGGGACAAAGCAGAAATGCTTAATTCATACTTTGCATGTTTCTTCACACAAAAAGAAAACACAACTCAACTTACCAAAAACAGAACTGTAAATGACAGGTTAGTAATGCAAAATAAAATATGCAAAAATAAAGTGAGAGAACACCTGTCAGCTTTAGACAGATTCAGATCACTGGATTCTAATAGACTACACCCCAGAATTCTAGAGGGACTGGCAGACATGATTTAGAACCATTGAAACATATCTTTCAAATTTCTTGAAGCACCTGAAGACTGGAAAAGAGCTGATGTGGTTCCCACCTTCAAAAAAGGAAAAAAAATAAATCCAGGATATTACAGATCAATCAGCCTGATATCAATACCTGGGAAGATCTTGGAAAAGATAATCAAGCAAAAAAACCTAGAAGCAAACAGTTGTAACCAGAAGCCAACATGGGTTCATCAAAATCACACCAAACAAATCTTAGTTCATTCTTTGACAAAGTGACTAAATTAGTGGATCAGTGAAATGCTGCAGATATAGTATACTTAGATTTCAGTAAAGCATTTGATAAAATAGACCACAACCTACTTCTTGGCAAGCTAAAACAATGTGGGTTAGACAGCACCCACCACCAGATGGGTTTGTAATTGGCTGACAAATTGTTCTCAATCTGTAGCTTTCAATGGAATTACATACACATGGAGGGAAGTAAGCAGTGGGGTACCCCAAAGACCCGTTTTAGGCCCAGTACTCTGCTGTACCTTCATAAATGATATAGATGAGAGAATAGAAGGGGAACTCATCAAGTTTGCAGATGACACTGAGCTGGCAGGAATAACTCACACCCTAGAAGACAAACTCAGGATCCAAAAAGATCTTGACAGACCTGAACAGTGGGCCTTATCTAATAAAATGAAATTCAGTGTAGATCAAAGTAAGGTTTTACACTTAGGCAAAAAAAAACCAACTGTATAGGTACAGATTAGGTGAAACATGGCTTAATGCCTGCAATTGTGAGAGGGATCTTCGAGTCCTAGTGGACAATCACTTAAATATGAGCCAACAGTGTGCAGCAGCAGCCAAGAAAGCCAATGAAATTCTAGGCTGCATTTATAGAGGGATAGAATGAAGATCATATGAAGTTCTCGTACCGCTTTACAAAGACTTAGTAAGATCACATACTGTATCCAGTTCTGGTCACCATAATATAAAAAAGAAGTTGAGACTCTGGAAAGAGTGTAGAGAAGAGCAGCAAAAGAATGATCAGGAGGCTGAGGCTAAAACATATGAAGAACAGTTACAGGAATTGGATATGTCTAGTCCAATGGAAAGAAAGACTGGGGACACGTGATAGTAGTGTTCCAGTATTTGAAGGGTTCCTACAAAGACAAAAGGGGGTCAAACTATTTTCCAAACCACTATAAGGCAAGACAAGAAACAATGGATGGAACCTAACCAAGGAGAGAAGCAACTTAGAACTAAGGAGAAGCTTCCTAATGATGAAAGCAATCAGCCAATGGAATGGCTTGCTTTCAAAAGTTGTGGGTGCTCGGACCATCACTGAAGACTTTCAAAAAGGGATCAGGCAACCATTTGTCTGAAATGGTATAGGGTCCCCTGCTCGAGCAGGGCATTGGACTAGAAGAACTCCCAGGTCCCTTCCAATTCTAATATTCTATGTTCTATAACCCAAGGAATTACAAACTCTTCATTCTGATTTTAGTGATGGGGAAATTACTAGAACATACCTTGGTATTCCTATGTTTATGTGGTAGTTTAGCAAGAATCTATCAATTTTAATCTATCAATTAAATAGTTCTGCTTTCTCCCTGTTGCTTGTCATCTTCTTGCCACTTTCCCCCACTATTGGACCAATCATTTCCTTCACTTTTTTTTTGTTTTTTACATGTTGAAAGAAGCTTTTTTTGTTATTTTTGACTTTGGTCGCAAACCTTAGTTCATTTTGACCCTTAGCTTTCCTCACTTCATCTTTGCAGGCTCGGGCTATTTGCTGATATTCTGCCTTCGTTATGTGCCCCTCTTTCCATTTTCTATATTTGTCCTTTTTTAATCTT